GTCCGGCCCTTCCCCAGGCAAAAGCAACAGGAAAGAGAGAACACTGAATGGATTCAGGGTGGAGGCAGCCACAACAGTGCAACTAAAGACACAAAAGGAGGGTTCCACGACTGCTTCAAAAAGTGGCAAGGCACGGTACATGTGTTTGAACAGGGAGTATTTTGAGGTGGTTTATCTTTCACTGGAGTAATTTTTTAAAATATCCTATCTTTTTAATCACACTTCATAACATTTCTCACTGGTTCATCTCCTCTATGAATTGTGTACTTTTTGCAGGGCAGAAGTTTAGGTGCTTCCTCATGTCAGTCTTTTCCTGGGAACCAGCAGCTTCTTGATACCAAGTACAGTCTCACCTGTCTGTTGCCAGGGCAGCATCTAGTCAAGTATGTAACAAATTAGTCTGCAGAATGAAGAAACACAGAAGTAACAATTAGGAGGCATTTGCAGCAGTTCAGCAGATAAGGAGGAAAGGAGTTACAGCACAGAGCAGGACTGAAAGCTGTTAGATAAAACTGACAGAAAGCTACCAAGAGTTACAATTACAATGCAGTTAGTATATACTAGATAGTTTTAAGCAATTCATATATTAATCCTCGCAGTAACTATGTGGTAGTTACTAAGGTAGCTAACAATTTCCCCCCACATTACAGACAAGGAAACTGAGGTTAAGTCATTAATGTCAGCTAAGACTCAAACTCGTGTGTATCTAGCAACAGAATTCCCGTCCATCCTGCTCCGCCTCCACATCCATGCTACCTGAAGCTCTGATTTCCAGCTTGAGGATGAGTACATGGGTGACATCAGCAGACACAAAGACAAGGAAAAAGAGGGGAAGAGGGGAAGTCAGCTCCACAGGGTCTGAGGTACCTTTCTGAGATGTCCAGCAGGGGGCCGGACATGAGTCTATGACACACAAAGACTGGGTTATACAGATGCAGACATCGACAGTATGCAAGCCTTGAGAACGCACCATGACCCCCCCCCAATTACACAATGAGCAGGTATACGGACTGAACAACCTGGTGAGCAATGTTTAAGGAAACTTAAAACGCAAAGGCCTCACAAGTATACAGAAACGCCTACGAGAAAGTAGTGCGCTAGAAGCCAACGACGCTTTAAGGTAGGAGTGATAACAGTATTCAAATAGTTTGTCAATGTACAAAAAAAAACCAGGGTCGTAAGACTGCTACAAGCAAAAACAGAGGCTAGAATCTTAAGTGGGGGTTATCTAAGTACAGGTCAGAAAACACCTAAAGTGCTGGCACTCGGAGACTGCTGCTTTTGTTTGGAAAAGCAGCTGAAACATGTTAAAAAGGCGCGTGGGGTGGACGATCCATCTCCCACAGGCTTACTTGCCGCTGCTCACAAGGGAGCAGAACTTACTCTGGAAATGGTGAAGGTGGTTGTAGACAACAGTGAAGAAAAGACGGAGGAAGGGGGGAGAAGAGCTACAGACTAGTTTAAAGTAACTCGTGAGAACAGCGCGATGGAATTCGCTGCTCGTGCCTGCAACTTGGTTTGTCCCTTGCCTCTCCTAAGAATCTCACCCCAGCTCAACGGCGAGCACCGCAGTCTCACCACTGCCGCCACAACGTGCTCCTCCACCTAGTGCGATCAGCACTGTGCGGCCTTTCAGGGCAAGGCCCTCAGAGCCAGCCGTGCTCCACTGCCCACGCCCCCTCTGCCAGCGGCCAGCAGCGCTGCGTGCCTCGCTATCAGCACCCCAGGCGAGATATGACACACGTCCTTCCCTCCTCGCCACCACGGACACTCAGAACCCAACAATCTCATTCTAAACCCATCTGTCTGGGAACTGTTTGTACTGCAGCATGACTTCATGTACTTCCAAAAACCCGTCACTCGTGAAACGCTGCCCTGCTTGTGCTGGACACCCTGGCTCCACTTATCACTCATTCTTTCACCTGGGTGACCACAGTAACCTTCCAACTCACCACAGTGCCTGTCTTCCTGACTGCTACCTACAGGGCAGCTTACCTTCCAACAACCGCAACCTGACTGCACCACTACCCGGCTTCTACGCTTTCGTAAGGTTCCTATTCTCCGCCCTTCCCACCTGAACACTCTCCCTTTTACGTTCTAAATCACAGCCTGTTCCTGAATCCAGCCTTAATTTGCCAGCAGAATAGATTTAAACTCCTGAACAATTAGCCTCGTTAACATTTAATATGTAAAAGATAATTAACTTTGATTATGTCATTTCTGCCCAAGTAGGACTGACACTTTAGAAACCCTAAAGGCTATACATTCAAAACTCTTTTTTTCAGAAGGTACAATCTGTGGTTTCTGGCCATTTGTCTACTATCATTACCGTGTTTAAGAACCCACACATACATGCATAGAAGTACGTGGCCAATCACAATCTAATCCTAAAAAACAAAAAAACCAGCTATCATCAGCTTTTAACAGTTGTTCTCAAAAATGTTTTGGAACAAAGTATCACCATTTGGTAGAAAGCTCAACAAGAAAATGCCCATACTGGGAAACAAGTCTTTCGTGCAAGAAAGTAAATGAATATACAAACTCGTCTCATGTATTAGTAATTTTGCAAATCCACTTACCCAGGCTTCATTAGAACTCAAGGGCACTGGTTGCTTATGGCTACTGCTCCGAGCTTTTAAGCAGTACATTGGTTTCAAAGCATTTGAACTGTCTTATACTCCCCTTTCTAACAGTATCTCTATGAAGTATGCAGAAAGTCATTTTCCAGCTACAGTAGAACAAGTTAAGGGATTTACTAAAGACCATCCAGGTAGATCAGATGATGCGGTATAGGGTGGAAACCCATTTTCACTAAATCATGAGTTTTAATTAACTGGAGGAGGAAAATAGATAATTGGGGTAAATATGATTAAGAATGGAAACTAACACAATAAGATTGTCCGAGAACTTGCCTATATAAATGAAATTTATTTACCTTCTCCAAAGAAATGGCTATATAGAATCTCAGTTGGGTATAGCTGCTAAAAACAAAATTCTCAAAAGCAGTCATGTTCAATTGTGGCAATACCCATCTCCCCTCACATGGGGCCATCTAAAAATGTCTGAAGGCTGTGCCGGCTGATGTGATCAAGTAACAGTGATACTACTGGCATCCAGTGGGCGGAGGCCAGGGATGTTGGTAGTACCCTATCATGCATGTGACAGCAGCCCCACCACAAAAAAAAGTAACAAAAAGCCCAGTCCAAAAATGTCAATAACGCCTTCTTGATCCAAAATAATGTACATGAATTTTTCTACTGAAGCATAAATTTCCAAGGAAAACGTAAATTTTACTTTGAGAATACAGAACCAGGAGTTTATTCCCAGATCTCTTAGGAAAACCTGACTTAATTCATGGTATGGTCAGGAGTGCAAGCATACACATACATGTCTTTGGAAAATGCTATACAAGAGTATATGTAAACTAGCTGCACATACACGCTTAGCTGGCCTTACCTAAGTAAGCAACTGGCGTTTTGTCATGTTGAAGTACACAAGTAAAATAGCTTTTTTTGCACAGGGCCATCCTCGTACTGTACAATTAACCAGTTTCAAAGTACAGTTATACATTTTTTGAGCGCATTCCAGAATAGAATCACTCAATGTACATCAACTGTTACTAACGATGGTAAATACATTAATTTCATTATCTTTAATCTGCAAAGAATTTCAAGTAATTTTCTAATGAACTCAGCAAAATAACTCATCACAGAAGACTAGAATTTAAAGGTATGAAGGGTAGGATATTAAGATTCCAAGAACAGGTTTCTTCTATTAAAAATCGTTCTGAAACCTGACACACGGTATTACAGGATTCAACAAAGTATAATTATATGCATTAGCTCCCTGGTAATTTTAATTAAGTTGGCTTTTTAAATTCCCTATGAAAACACAAATCCCACTCCGGATTGAGAGCTAGCTTTTATATTACAAACAGCAAAACATGTTGTTGAAAGATCTTGCTCAAAACATGCAAAGGAAAAATATGAAGAAAAAGCTTTATCTGATGAGTTTTTTGTAACTTGGGACCAAATACTTCCACTGTGTTCCATTTTTTACAAACCAAAGTACAAAAGAAGAATTTTATACTTTTAACTGGGAAAATCAGCTAAAACCAGAATACGCATCTTCCAAACTATGTGACTCCTTACTATGTTGTCTTTCCATTCCACAGACCATTCAGTAAGATTTCAAAAAATGGCACGCATCTGGGATGGCAACGGTTTGAAAATTAGGATTCAAATTAAAATAGAACTAGAATCCAAATCTTACTGGCTAAAATTTCACAATTTTGTAATATTTAAATATCTACAGATTAGCAAGTAATTTTTTTTTTTTTTTTTGTACCAAGAATTGAACTGAGGACCTTGTGCTTTCTAGGCAGGTGCTGTGCTGCTGAGATAAATCCTCAGCTAGCAAGTAATATTTAACAATTGAGATTTCTAATACAAATGTGGGCAGAGTATTTCCGTTACAAAGCATTACTTTATACTTTGTCATGTGACTAGAGCTTTAAAAGGCTTAACAAGTTAACTGAATTCTTCAGTGACTCAAGATTTTGTATAATACATTCTGCATTTCAATCATGATTATATGATCATATTTGCATGTCTGAGGCTGAGCTGAATATAAAGACATGAGAACATCAGACAGAACTGGTCAATTAAGTATGCCCCTACGTTATTTTTTTTACTAACCTAAGAAAAGTATAAAAAGATTAGCTTGGTTGTTTAATCATGATTACATAAAACTTACGTAACTACTCAAATATTTGATGAAGTCATCATACTTCAACTTTCAAGAACTTGGGTTGCTGATGGTTAGGTAGCTTTCAGAGATCGTTAATAAAACACACGATCATCATTTAAAAAATTACCGTTCAGTGCTCCTTATTCTGTAACTTTTTAGGCAAGGCCCTACTATACCAAAATTCTTTTCCGCCCTAATTGTGGAAGATGACCTAAACTCAAAATTCAGTCCCATATTGAGCTTTCTTTAAAAAAAACAAAAAAAAAAAAAAAAAGGAAGAAAAAAAGAGACTCTAAAACGAATTTAAATGTCCTCACAAAAATTGGCAAACAGTTTACTCTCACAACCCAACTTTCAGACTTACAATAAGGAATGGAGATTCTTAAGCAGAACTTCCTAACATTTCCAGTAAGCAGTATGAGTGTAGAATACATCTAGACTCCACACCTCACTAGACTTTGCTAATTACACGCCAGTATCCAGACCATATCACCATTACAAGTACGGGGTTAATAAGAATGACTGCATTTAAAATTATGAACACTCCCTTTGTTACTAATTTTGTTACGTATGAGAATACACACGCAGGTTAACACCGAGACTGTAACAGCTATCTCTGTTTCTCCAGTATAAGCATTTTATCTATGTCAAAAAGAGCTGTCTTGCAATACTCAAAAAGTAAAAATAAAAATGACATGTATGCTGGATGTTAAAAACATGGGAAAAATAATTTCAACTTAATTTTAGGCACTTAACTAAGACACTCACACAACATAGGTATGTCAGTCTCCTGTTCAGTCCTAGAGCCTACAGTATTATAATTTATTGTGAAACCATAATCAAAAACTTCAACATAGCCACAACATCTATACCACAGCAATGTATGGTACATATATACTAACATCTCAAAATAAATTTCTATTAGTTTTATGCAAATTATGGTATAGGATTATCAAGTGCCCTATTTCTAAATGGCACTAACTTCATATAACTATATTCCATGTCAAAGTACTAAATAAAAGCCTCACTAGTAGCCATTTCTGTGTTATCATCTGAACATTCAAAATCAAGTCCTTAAACTAAAACCACAGTATGTTATTAAAACCACCGCATATTCAGATGTTAAAGCAGGTAAATAATATAGCCGGAAAATATTTCTAATTCACAGTTTCAAAACTAAAAGGTACAGCTTTCAAATATCTGACTGCTTGAAATTGGTCACTCAATTTAACAACTGCCTCCGTTCACACATGTAAACTATGCCTGCACAGCATTAGGAGATGCCTTTTATTTCAGAAGTTAGTTCTTACTATTACAGGAGCACCACGAATTTGAAGGACGAGGCTACAGTGTGAAATGAGCTCACTCGAAGTTATCTTAAATAAATTTCAACTATAACAGAAGGTACTGCAAAAGCTTTGTCCCTCAGCACAGATCCCTTAATCAGGAAAAGCAGTAAACACTTACCAAATATAGCATGTAAATTTGTTCTACAAGAGATAAGAAAAACTCAACTAAAAGGAAGTATTAACAAACCTGACAGCTGGCTGCAGAATTTTCCTAGAAACAAAATTTAAAAGCAGACAGACATAGTATATGCATCTTTCCATAAGGAATGTAGACATCCACAGAGAAGGAAAGAAAAATCTGGCTGTAAGAATTTCTCGGTGGAAACACACACACAGTGACTGAGAAAAACTGGGTACTGAGTACTTCAAACATTCAAACTTTAAATGTGTAACAAAATTTGTAATAGGAAAAAAATGGCTGTTACGGTGACTTGATTTACTAAACACGTCTGCAAGCTCACACTGGCATTAAGGAAACCAAAGTTTCAGAAGTTTACTCCCCTCTCTCCCCTCTTTCCAGATACGAGTTTTTGTGCAAAAATAAGTATCTGAAAATTGCACTAATAATACTTATTTAAATTTCTGTACTATGAATAACTGCACATGCTGCTTTACAGACAATACATATTTGTAAACTCGCTCATGCAAAATTAGTGTATGCAACAGGGATATTATTAACCCTCAGAGTTAAAAAAATGTTGTTTTATCTTTTTTAACTGCCAAACCCTCTGAAATATAACAAATTAAAACGGATATTCTTGTCTGCCAGCGAAAAATCTATTATGATGCTAAAAGAGAAAGTTATACAAGAAACATGGTTTTCGTCTTAAAGAATTTTTGATTTTTGAGAAAATGTATAAAAAGAAGAAATTCATGGTCACAAAAGTTTAACATTTTAATCCTAAACATTACAGGGTAAATAGATACTGGACCCTCTCTCCACATTCCACAAACCCTAACTTTTAGTTTCCACTTTAAATGTTGTCCTAACCACTAACACATTAGTGGTTTTACAACCTCAGGATTATGGAAATACATCTTTTTGAAATAAATGCTACAAAAACTATAATGGAAGAAAGCGGAACAAACTGCTGCCATGAAGAAAAAGAAAGTGGAGCATTTGGGAGCTTTCAGACACTTCTCCTTCCGCGTCTTATGGTTAACTGGTCGATTCAGTGCAGTGTGTGCTCAAGGGCAACGGTCCCCCTATTAACAAACATCTAACTAGTGTCCATTGACTCCAAATTAGTGGATGACGAATCTTTCTGGATGCTCTCGAAGATGGCTGCCAGCTCAGGGTTAGAGCTGATCTGCGACTGGAATTCACTCATCAGCGGGCTCTTCTCTGCTTCTGGGATGGTCAGCAGTGCTGCTACTGCTCTCATGGCAGACCGCTTTAATTCATCTTGCTTTTCAAACTCCTGCTTTACTGAGTTTGCCTTTACCTGTATGTAACATGGAGTAAATTTAGATTACAGGCTAGAATATGCAATATATTATTACACGTATGTATGCTATAATACGCTCTTCTATGAACAAAATTTAAGCACACAGCAACTCCTGGTAAACTGAGCAATGCCAGGTTTGATGTGCAAATGGTACAACACATTGTAAACACAGCTGGTTTTAAGCTTCGTTTTGAATCAGTAGTAAATCTTTTCAAGGGCATGTATTACACAAAGCCCCTTATAAAAATAAAAAATCTGACCTACACGGCAGAACCAGAGAACAAAGCTCAGGCTTACTGATTGACAAGTCCCACTTTGGCCCTTACCACGCAACTGTACTTCTAGCTACCCTATTCATCACTCTTCAAACAACACCCAGCAACAGCACCACGCCTTTATTCATGTAACTACACTGATTTAAAAAAAAACCTTGTTTCACCTTATTGGCCATAAAAGAAATTCCTCCTGTTTCCCTACCTAGAATTAATACATGCTTTTTATCATATCCCATATCAGTACCTCAAAATACATAACATATTGTTATAGCAATGAACAAATGTTTACAAGAGTGGCACCTGACAGCGCTAAGCTTCATAGAACACTCACAGTCAGCAGGTTAATGTTTTAAAGCACCTGCTACATGAGGTGCCAGTATAATTAAGTTTGGAAACCAGAAACAAAATAAGCTAGGAATTTTAATTCAAAAAATTATACATGAAAAGGAAAACCTTTTTTTTTTTTGGTCTTGCTATGCAGTTTAGGCTGGCCTTGAGCTCACTTTGTAGCTCAGGCTGGTCTCGAACTCACAACGATCCTCCTGGCTCAGCCTCCCGAGTGCTGGGATTACAGGCGTGCGCAACCATGCCCGATAGGAAAACTGTTCTTATCTTGCAGAATTTCTGACTTTTAAATGATAAACTTTATAAAACAAAAGGATTCATAGTCACAAAATTTTAACACTTTAAGCCTAAATAGGGTACACAGAGATACTGGGTGCTATCTCTGTACTCCAGAAATCCTACCCCAGTGTGAACCCAAGCTGAAGCCTATCGATGATTACCTTAGTTGTACATGTGGCACGCAAGGGCTCAACCAGCCGATCCAACCTTTGCAGCACTGCACTTGGACAAAGCGTAGAGAGTCTCACCAACATTAAAAATGTCAGCATCTATTTAAAAAGAAAGAAAAACAAAAAACAAACAAAAAAATCGACAAAATTAAGCAATATTTTTCTGAAGAAAATCCCACATTCTGACAAATCTTTCAAAAGGAAAATGACTACCATGCAGAAGAAAGCTTTATTTTAATGTAATCTGCCATTCAGACTCACATAAACTGGTTTTAAACCTTATCTGAGTTACATGTTAGAGTGACCTCAACTATCACGTGGTCCTAGAATACGAAACTAAATCTCTGGTTTTCAATCCTGGCTGCATACTACAGCCACCTGTGGAGCTTTTGAAACACATCCCTTCCTCTGGCCCACCCTCAGAGACTTCTACCTACTGAACTTGCCAGGATAGGGCCTTAGAGTCAGTATTTTTAAAAAAGCTCATGTGCAACCAGATTTGAAAGTCACTGAACTAGAAAATAACTCAACTGGAAAAAAGCTTTTAAGTAAGTTTTTAGCAGATTTTTAGGAGGGAGAGGGGCAGTTATTCAGATTAATCCACACAAAACCTGATAATCCATCATTCTTTTGCTCTCAGATTATAAATTTATAGAATTAAAAAAACACAGCTGATTACTTTTTTGGAAACACTCTTCACTGAATTTTGTGGGGTTCAGGTCACTACTATTACGGAAACATGGAAGAGTTTTGCTAGTATGGCTCAATTTCTGTTCAGTTAGTTTTGCTCTGCCTGGCCAAAGGCCTTAACGTAGAGCTGATTAAAAGGACAGAATAAATTTATTTTTAAAATTTTTCAAATTACCTTCCCTATTTTTCCATATTTAAAATAGAGATATGAGAAGTTATCAACAGAGTTCATGCTCTAATCCTAAGAAGCAATGACTCCTCTCTAGTTGCTTCTAAGACTGCTTTGTGTATCTGAAAATATTTATGCTATTCTCTAACAAAATTCTTGACAAATAAGTGTATTATATTCAAAAACAAAAATCATTCAGGTGAAATATTCAAATGAGCCCCAAAGACAGCCCAAGAAAATCAAGACAATACAGGGAAACTTAAAAAATCCCCCACGGTTTCAATTACAGACCAACACCAAAAAAACCCAGACTTTATACCTGGAACAGCAAACACTGCTCTGGACTCCTCTTTTGAAGGAAAGATCAAGGCAGGGAGCATCACTAAGGCAAGCTGGCAACGGCATTTCTTAAAATTTGTTCCTTCCATAAAAAGGGCTTTTGACTTCTCTTGTTTATCACCGGACGCCACAATGCCTCACTATTTCTGCATGTTATAGTTTATAAGTTGCTTTCAGAAACCTTACAGACAAGTCAATCTTTCTCTTAGGCGAGTAAATTACAAGGGTAAAAGATGTAACAAGCGAAGCTTTGTTCTACAATATTCTATAAACAGTCATACACCTTACCTTAATATCATAATGGTCCTTCAAACCATCTTCAACATGATTTAGAAATTCAAAGATATCCAGCCTATCAAGACAACTGTCCAAAAGGGTATACATACACTCAAAGGCGGCCTTTCTAATATCCAGACCATCATCGACTGTGTGTTTAAATGGACCCATTTCTACCTATTAAAACAAGAGAATGCGCACATGTGACATTTAAAAGTAAGAGAAAAAGCTCAGATAAACCATGTAATCTAACTTACCTCTCTTATAAGCTCCTTTCTAACTTTTGTTTCATTATAAAGATGTGGAAGAACAGTATCCAAAAGATCCCTTATTAGTGATGGCTTGTTATGTGCTGCTGAATTAAATGTGACCAAGGCTACTCTTCTTACATTCAAATCTGGATCTTCCAAAGTTTTTAGGAAATCACCTGAAAAATTCGTAATAACAGTAAACTGAAGATAAAATATACACTAAATCGATTTAGTTTATTATTGTTGCTGTCACTATTATTTCTTCCATGAAGGTCATGAAGAACCTGATGAAATCCAAGTGAATCATAAAGTTTATTTTGGCAGAGGGAAACTACCATTTTAGAAGTTGAGTACACTTTCAATTGATAATCTACTCTCGGATTCTACAATACAGAGGGTACATTACTTTACGGATACTTTATAGAGAGGACAATCACAGAGAAAAGTGATACTGCTGAGAGACAAAGACTCACAACCTTTAAGATTTTCCTTACAGTTCACTGAAAATAAAAAAATTTTAAGAAAAGCTTAAAATAAGAAGAACACAGTGAGAACAAATCCACTGCCTAATAAAGATGAAATATTGTTTGTTAACAGGTATACAATTCATCATATGACCGAGAAATATGCTCCCCAAAAAACCTCTTCTTTCAATCGTCACTGAGAAATACATGAATTTATCAGAGTGTGAAGGTGTAAGAGAATGAAACTTGAACCCTAACAGGACAAATACCAAAGACAGCATTTAACTACCTTAAAAACAGATTTAAGTCTGTTTCTTTTTACAAATGAAGAGAAGAAATTACAGAAGGTGATCTAAGTCATTTCACTTATGAAATGTCTGACTTCAGGGAAGTATTTTAGATAAAAGCCGCTGTTTCCTAACTGATAAAATGAGGATTATACATCTCGGGGTATTGAGCAGAGTAATTTACAATCTGTCGCAGAGCACCTAAGACACTCTAGACACGCACAGGTAGCAACTGCTGATCATTACATGATCCCAATTCTATCATCCGCAGTCTCTTGGGATACAAACTAAATGCAGAGGGGTCACAAAAGAGTGTTGGTTTGAAATGCAGTAATTTTGCAAGACAAGGAAAAAAGATTTTAGACGTTGTACACTGGTAAACTCAATGATGACACCCAGGCTGGCACAGCACTAAACAAAAAAGGAAGACAGAAGTCTGCAAGGTAGTGTGACTTCAGAAATAATCTAATCCATCCATCTGTATAATTGCTAAACTGGTGGATTAGAAGAGTAACCAGAATAGAGTAGATCCGTTTTTGGGAAATTACCTAAAGAAGTGCAATTATCATGGACAAAATGATGTTGTGGACTAAACCAGTGCTCCCCCATTCCTTCGTGTAGGAATTTTCATTTTTAAAGAGTTTCCCGGGTAGTTCTGTCATTCAAATACCCAAATAATGAACTAGCTGGTAACGCAGTGATAACCACCACCTGGTAGAAGAACTGTGCCACTTATGCACACCGACTGCTGCCAACCTGGAAAGATGCCTCTAGGGACGCGGCACAGGCATCTCCCTCTGTCCTACCATGCACAACACCAAAACGCGAGCGAACACATTAAAGCAACAGTAGGCGTGCCTGCAGGAATGGAGGAACAGCATCCACTTCTACACGCCTTTCCTTTTTCTGAAATGGCAATCCCTTACTACAAAATTTAAAGTGCTCGTCCCCGTTCTCTGGGGCACCGCAAAGGGCATGAAGCTGTAAAACTTCTATGCTGTGTCCCTCTAGTCTTCCTGCTGGTACCTCCATTCTCTTATCCTCAGGAAAGCACCAAACTTAAGTTCTGATGGTTTTCAGGCAATTATCACTCCAGGGAAAACAATGATGAAAACAATAAATGCAAGAAGTTACAAAATTATATGCCTTCTTAGAAATTATTTCCTGTCTTTGTAGAAATGGAGATGGCTCTAGTTCCACCTGGGCATCTCCTCTTAGGCTTCTGGGAATTAACTCTCCAACCTTTTTGTTGTTCTTAGGCTGTTTGCAACTTCTATGGGGTCATCTCTACCAGTCTCTTTGGGAGCTGGGGGATTACAAACAATGAGCAAAAACAGAGGCCCCAAGAATGCAAGTAACATTTATTTACAATCAAGACGAAACTTATTGGTCAGATAGATCGAGTATCTTTTGCTCATTAAAACTAGTCATCGCCAAACTGTGATATCAGTATGTAAGTTGATTCTAAAGACATGCTGGTTCATTTGCTAATTTCAGTTACTTGCAAAATTATCAGGTAATAATTTCAAACTAATCAAGTACAGCATAACCAAATATAATTCCCTGGAGTGATAAGACCAGACAGTCAACAATCCTATTTTCTTACCTGTATTTCTTGTCAATCTTTTAAATTCACCTACAAGCATTTAAATTCCTTAGCAAGAAAAATAAAACTTCTCAGTTCAGAGTTCCTTAATATTCTATCTTTCCCCAAAATCATCAGTATGTTTATCTTTGTTTCCACTTACCTATACAGTTCTTTAACAGTGGATCGATAGGTTGAGGATGATCAGAAATAGTAAACTTCACAGCTGTAACAACTGAGCTTCGGGCATATGATGAGCCTAATTTTAAAAAAATTGCAAGACTGTTGGTATAGTCCACTAAAGCCCACGGGCATCATTTTCAGACCACTTCACATAACATCAGCACCTTCAATTCCTTAAAGTTCTCTTTGGCCAAAAAAAAAGTATTTCTTATGGCTCACTTTAGGATACTAAAGGAGCAAAGGATACTCGCTTTACCAAATACAATCCCATGAGATTTCAAAAGAAACCATTTCTTCTGTGAAGGAGGGGACCTGGGAAAGCAGCAATAGAGGAACTAGCCCTCACAAGGTAACTGGTTAATTCCATAAATAGATTGTAAAATTTTCTAAGACATTTAATTAAAAAGCAAAATTTTAAAGAATAGCTATTACCACCTTATACTTGTTTGAGTATGGTAGACACTGCTAAATCTGCAATCTCTTTTGAGCTCTTTCAACAGAACTAAATACTTTCACCAATTTTAATACAACTAGTAATAGTAAGCTCTTGGTATTAATTCAAGAGCTTCATCTTTTCCAACTTTAAGATAAAACAGTAACATTAAAATGTAGTCAGCTGAGGAATCAGATCTAAAATTATGATCTATCCTTCTAAACAAAACATCATCTGAGTATGACTGCATTACAAGGTGCTACTTTTCATCATATATATATCTTTTACATATAAGAAAATATAGACATGGCTTAACTTTCTCATTAGGCATCTTTTAAGGCAACCAATTATCAATTATTTTAGGTAAGAAAACCTGGATACTCACCTGATATCAAATACCCCTTAAGCCGTGGAAGGAGAGTTTCTGGGTCAATTAGAGTGAGTTTTCCTAGACATTCAGCAACGACGTTTCTGGTACCTTCCTCTGCACACTCACAGTGCTTTAGTAACAGGGACCAGATATTTTCAACATATGGTTTAAGGCCCACCACTGATGCAGAGCTAATAATTTCCTTCAGGGAGTGAAGCAGAAGGTACTGCCTTTTGGGCTGACTGGTTATCTCTTGCAAGACAAATGGCAGATATTCGGGAAGATTGCCCACACTGATGCTGCCTAGTGCGTAGGACGCAGCTGACTTCACCTCCTCACTAGGAGATGAGAACGCTTCCAGTATCACGGACTTCAGTTCCAGCTGACCACTTAGGTCAATGTGATGCCCAACTTCTCCAAGAGAAAGCAGAGCTAGGAGGCGGATGGAGTCTGTAGACCTCGAGTTCTTGACATCCTGAATAAACTGACCTACTACAGCTGGCCCCTCCTTGGGACACGCTCGGGTAAGAGCAGCTACACATTTGGCAATGGAATAGTAAGACTGCTTATGAGTAAGAGCTGTGTTCTGAGAGTAAACTGGACCAGTCAGCATGCGCAGCAAATCCATGTATCCTAAGTTATTTGTTCCAGTAACAACCAGAGCTTGGAAAAAGTCTAGCATGGCACTAAGAGCTCCCCCCTGCAATAAGGGTGATCTTACAAGTCCAATAAGTTCATTGAGAATAGATCCACTTATCTTTGAAAGGGAGGAGGGATACACTTTTGCCAGGGTAGTAAGAAAGCTGATAGCCATCTGTGAAACGTGCATATCACTTTCGCTGATAAGAGGTGGGAGCTCATCTAGAACGGCATCAATCATGGCAGCTGTCAAGCTGTCACTATAGTTTTTAATTAGAATATCTAGGGCAGACAGGGTTCCCAGTTTCAAAGCTCTCTGGTTTTTCCTGAGAAATGAAGCAAGGATAGGAACTCCCTCTCCCAGGACAGGCCTCAAATCTATCTTCAAAGGTGACCCAGCAATCAGTGTCAATGCTTTCACTGTCGTTAACCGGGTAATTTCATTCTTTAATCTTTCCAAGAAAATCTGAAGTGTATTAGGCAAATCAGAACCCAAATTGTCTCCAAGGTTGCAAATAATTTGTCCCATACAGGAAATAGCCCTTTCCTTCACTTCCTGATCAATGTCAGCTGCTTTTAACCTCTTAATGGTACAGGTAAAGAGATCTTTGATGTAAGGAGTTGCATCAAACGAAGACGGCTGATCTAAAGGACGGATTACTTTGACAAGCTGCTGAGTAACAAGAAGTGCTTCAGATGTAATCTTGTAAAATGGGTCTCCGACACAAGCCACCACCGGAGGGACCAAAGCCTGAACATGAGGATGGAAGACTTGAGGAGAGTGGTTACAGAGGATCACATGTAAGCATGACAAAGCATCAATCTTCAGGTTCGACGAGCTGGATTTATCGTTTAGTGAGAAAATAATTCCTAAAAAGTCAAGGAAACAAATCTCATTGTTTCTGTGCAGTTTCCAGAAAAGATAAAATTAAATCAATCCCTAAAACTTGGGGAACCTATTAAAGTTACCACTTTCACCATATCTCTATGAAGTAGAAATGTGTAGAAAAAAACCACAATCTGTAATAAATATTAATTTAGGGTGAAGTTTTGAACTTTTTACTTGGAAATTTCTAACTTCATATTTTCAAGATGGTTAGATACAAAATTCTAGGAGCAGGCTGCCACCAATTTCCCTTTTAAAGGAAACAATTGTTTGAGCTTATCTAAGTCAGAACGTAAGAAGGCCATTATAAGTCCCCAAAAAACTTTCTTTCATACCTGGTACAAGCACAGGAATGTGTTGTGTTAGGGCGCCCGGTAATACATTTACCAGTTCAGTTAACATGTTAAAACAACACTGTCGGGTCTTCACACTTTTTTCTTTCATCTGTTTGTGCAGAGCTTTAACGATGTTGGGAACCTGTAATTATCACATACTCATTACCTAGTTCATCCACTGCTACCTCTTCAGTCCACTTAGAATGAATTATGGGAAATAAGGAGTAAGGAATTTATCTTTTTTAGGGACTACACAGAGGTTGCATTTCTAATTTAGCTCTACTGCTATATCTAGGACTGATACATAAAAACTAAGTTTGTCTAATCAGTCTCTTCTTTCCACTTTGTTGTTACAATGAAAGCTACTTCAAAAGCAGCTATAAACAGTCGGAAAAGTCAGACATCTGTTCCAAATTTTGCTTTTTTAGTCAGTAAAATTTAAATATGGTCTGTACTGACAAATCATATGGATTGTCAGATTGACAATCCCGCAACAAAGAAACTGAAAGCAAAAACCACCAACAAGAACACTACACAGACACAGACGCAAGTCACAACTGTGAAACTAGAAATAAAAGAAGTCACCTAATTCCCCAGAACATTATCAGAATTCCTGAGTCTACTAAACAGCCAGCTTCTGGACACTTCACTACTTAAATACTCCGCATTTTTTATTCCCATTCCCGTCTACAATTAATCTTCAATGTTCACCTTTACATTCACAAAATTTATTCATTTGCACTATCTGAAAACAACCCTGGTTTGGTCTCTTTCAGTATGTTTTATAATCTATTAAAACATGGACCATATAGAATCCATAGAGCTTCTACAGGGAGTACAGGTGACAGGAAAATGCCTAAAATGTACTAAATACTCAATAAAAGGGAGCTACACTGCTCTGATATTAACAGTTGAAATATGTTACACGTTTACTATGTAACAGGTACTGTACGCTGAAACTATACTCAGATCATTTCACTTCTCATTCCCCTGAGTACATGTCTCGAAACTATTATATACAAGAAAAAGCAGGTTTAATAAAATATAGAGTATCCAAGATTATACAACTGAGTCAGGAGTGAAACTGGCTAGATAGCCCCACAGCTATAAGAATTTTTCATTTACATCTAAGTAAGTTATTTTACCAACCTTAAAATTATTTTAGAATTGTTCAATCAAGAAAAACCAAGACTACAGCACTTCAGGCGGAATGGTTCATAAATAAATATGAACATCCATTATGAACACATTGTTCTATACTACGATATCCTAGAACTTTCTGCTTCTCTGAAGATATTCTAGAACTCACACAAAAACAGTTTTTAGAAACATCTCACTATCACTATGTTCTCAAACACACTTTCAACCAACCTGACTCTGAAGCATTGTCAAAGGTGTTTCTCCTTGCTCCATTGCATCAGGGTCACACAGCCAACTTTGCACAGGACGAGTTTGCTTCAAAAGAGAGAGGTATGCATGAAAAACGTCCGCCTTTACATTCTCCTCCCGCTCTTTAAATCTGGATATCAGCGCAGGAGAGACAGTCTTGTAGAACTCTGGAAGCATCTCGTGTCTTGTGCTAACGACGGCATCCAGGCACTTAGCAGCTGCGCGCCTCACTTTCCAACTCATGTCATCGTCATCACTGTATTCATCATCACTGCCTGAAGGAAGTTTTAATGGGAGCAGGCCATCAATGAGAACGCCACTTAATACAGAATTATTCTTAGGGCAGTTAATCTAACTCGTCCTCCACAAAGACAGCAATAGGCTTAAAAACTACAACTTGAAACAGATGCAGAGTTTGTTACTTAAAATCATAAATTTCCTGGCCTTTGAAAAAATTTAAAGGACTCAATACTACAGCAAATTCAGACAAAGGGGAAATTTGTAAGTGAAACCACGAAAAGGATCTCTGGCTCTAAAAAGAATCATTACTAATCCCTTTCTAATTTTCTGGAGGTTGGGGAGGTGGAAGAATCCTGGCATCAACTTTGTCAGAGGCTCTTCATTAAACCTGTGGATGTGGTATTTAGGATAAACATGCACATTCTCAACCTTTCACAATTTTATCTTTAGAAACTTTTGTGTTCTTCAGTACAAGAAATTTTTTCTACTGAACAACAAAGTACCACTGTCTAGAACTCCCAATGTTAAAGCTAAGTATAAGTACAAGCATGAAGACAGGTATCTCATTTATGCATACTTAATAGGTAACTGGTGTGTGTGAAACATAAAAAAAACTTTCCTCCTAGCACCATTAGGATGACCCACTTGGATAACAAATTTAGGAAGGTAGCACAAATAACAGCAGTTCTCATGACAGTCTAAAATTGGGTAACAATGATTTTATTATTCTTAGAAAATACAGCCTTGAAATGATTCCTCAGCCTAGGTGTGTGGAGAAGTGATCAGCTCTCTACTGGCTCATGCATCACCAGTTAGCTTAGTGTTAGTCAAGTGTAGTCAAGCCAGACCTTAGAAGATTCTAGGAAATACAATAAAAATCTCCAGTCTCCCGTTTCATTTATTCATTTTATCAGACTATATGAAAATTCAAATACTGCTAAATACAAGCACTAGATTCATTACTTTTAACCATTTCAGTTAAAAGATACTGCCAAAAGACTATTCATTTAAAAGAAAATAAATTTAAATGTTTTCCCTTTGTTAATACACAATAGGAATTGCATCCTAGCAATTATAAACTTTACTGAACACAAGTTTGTAAGAAACTAACACATGTCATAATCACTGAAATTATACTTATTTTATAAGTCACAATAACATCACGGTAGAAAAGGCATTTAATACTTTCAACACTCAACTTATAAAGCAGCTGAAGGACTTGATTATTTAGTGTGCTAAATGCCAAAACTGAACACAAAGAACACATATTACCATTGCTTCCTTCAAAGGCTATGCATACTGTTAACAGAAGCTTTCCCTTTATGAAGATGCTAAATGTCTACTGTGTATCAAGCACTAGCCTGAACACTAAAGTAAGAGATTTCTAGTCTTTGTGAAGAAGACTGTATTACAGTAGGTAGAGGATAAGAACATGCCATAAAGTTATTAAACATCATAAAGAAATAAAAATACTGAAAAAGAAAAACACCGGTATGTTGAGTAAGAGGAAAACTTGAAAGGATATGACAAAAAGGAATTAAATATGACTTCGAAGTTTTTGGCCTAAAAAACTAACAAGAACGGAGGTGCCATTCTGATATGGAAACAAAATCAAAGGAACAGATTTGGAGAGGGATAGCAAGATTTTAGATATGTATGAACATGAACCTGCACTCAAGGAAAGATCTGGAGCAAAGATACAATCTGGGCTGTCAGGGCGATGACATTAAAACCAGGAGACTAGATGAGATCAACAAGAAAATTACAACAAAGAAGTCAAGAAGTCCAAGAATTCAGACCTGGAATATTCTTAAGTTTTGGAGTGAGAGATGAAGAATTAGCATGGGAGACTGAAAAAGAGTAATCACAACAAAGACAGCACGAAAACCAGGCAAGCGTGGTGTCCTAGAACCTAAACAAAGAAAAAAGCTGCTGAGCCTTAGTAATAAAGTCCAATGTTAGCAAGTATTTGCAATCTTAGCCAACACTGAAGAACTAGGTTCAAAACAGAAGGGGAAGAAAGGGATTAACAGTATTCATACGAAGAGTTCTGCTGTAGTGGAGAGAAAGCACGGAGCACTAGGCTGCGGGATGGGAGGTTTCCATAGTTGTTTTTAAAATACAAGCTAACATAAACTGAAAGAATCAACTAGAAAGTATGAATTTATCCATTTAAATTTATTATTATGAATCCCAATACAAATAGAATCAACTAAACAGGAGCAACGTCTATGTCCTTGCTATGTTTTTCTAGAATAAATCTACAAGTTACAGTGTGAAATCAATACAAGGAAGCCTCAGAAATGTTTTATTTATGAAGAATAATAATTCTTCACAATAATAATTAAACAGGACCTCAAAATTTAGTAGTTTTATGAATATAACTATGAATAACTAAAAAATTTGAAGCCAACCAAACTTCTCTGAATATGTGTATTTTTAGATTTAACTTTTAAAAAAATACTAATTCAGATTCTTAGAAAAAAATACTCTAGGAAATCTGAATACAAAATAACAAAATCATGTTTGTAGTAAAAATCATCTCCATCTCTAACATCAGGGCTTTCACAAAATTTAACAAGTAAGATTCTTTTAATTTAATCTGAAATACCTTGGTCGTCATCATCACCACCATCAGCATCCATAGCATTTTCATCTTCATCTTCATCATCATAATTATAATTTGGATCATAGGTAAGATACTTAAGACAAATGTTTATAATGGTAGAAACATGAGGATATACTTCCTTAGGACATCTAAATACAAAAAACAAAAACTGCTTTAATCTCTTTGCTCCAGTCTCTGCCACACTTTGGTACTAGCAGTAACAAAGGTACACAGTCCCCGGCTCATCTGAAAAATATTTATCTTTCAAATTATACTCGATCAATTTTTTTTTTTTTTGGTTTTTCTCCGGTACCAGGAACCGAACTCACGACCTTGCGCTTGCCAGGCAGGCGCTCTGCCGCTGAGCTAAATCCCCAGCCCCGACTCGATCAATTTTAAGATAAACTTCCTACCTCTGCATTTTAACTTTGTTATGGTTACTGTGAGGCAGAACACAGAGAAAATGGTATGTGCTCTGTCTTCTCAACACGAAGACCAAGCCCAGATGAATGTGCTCTCCAACAACGAGGACGATGTGTGAGAACGTCAGTCCACAGTCATCTAGCTCGGTCTTCCACATGTATGGTGAGGGTAGAAACATAAATGCCCACAGGGCCAACCAACAAAGTAATTTGTTTTCATTAAGTAAAGGGGTCGAAATGAATCCCACAATTTAAAAATTTCATAGTAAAAACACTTCCGAAAACCAGGAGTAGCAAGGAATGCTGCCTTCTAGTATATGAACATGCAATTTTTATTAAGCTTTTAAAAAAAGAATATTACAGTCAGAGTTTCCAAATTGAGGATTACTGTCCTAGCAAAACAAATGTGATGGAGCTAAAATAACGATTAAGCTGGGGATATAGCTCAGTGGCAAAGCGCCTGCCTGGAAAGCGCACAGTCTTGAGTTCAATTCCCAGTACCGGAAAAAAGAAAAAAACAAAAAACCCCAAAAACCAAAATCTACAACCATAAAATAATGATTAAAAAAGTAAAATTTACTGTGTGTTTCTGATGAGATCATTAATTTACCCCTCTGCTCTCTAAGGACAGACATTATACTGACAGCTCTCTTCCTTTCTACACAGTCAATACAAATCTGAAATAGTAAAATGCCTGCTTCAGGTAGTCTTACCAACAAAAGGAAAACATTTTCAAAATAAATGTGATGACCACACATTCATAGGGAGATGACATTTGCTTCAATTTTGTATTGGCTATCAGTAATTTATTGCCTAACGAAAAAATAAAGCTGGGTGTAGTGCTGCAGGTCTGCAATCCCAGCACTCAGGAGAGGCTGAGGTAGGAGGATGGCAGATGGTTTTGAGTTTGAGGCCAGACCAGGCTACATAAGAGTTCAAGGTCAGCCTGAACCACAGAGCAAGTCCCTGTCTCCATCAATTAATAAGAAAAAATTAACCACATCTGAAATCCTATAAGCTATTTCTCCTTACACACAAAATCTAGACTTTAATTACGTAAAAGTTTTCTTCTCAAGAAACAGATTTTCTTAAAAACTTACCTTCTCACAAATGATTCAAAGGCTTGAATGCAGTACTCTCTTAATTCATCATCATCTACATTACAAAATTTTACCACCAAAGGGATTATCTTCTCAAGGTACTCACCTAAGGAAAGTATATTTTTTCTTAAAATTATGCACTATATTTTTAGTCAGACATAGTTTTAAAATATTTTAGAATTTCTTACCTATCCTATGCCCAGCTTGCCTGCTAATAGCAGCAATACATTGTATGTAAGTTCTTGTTGTTGACATGGAATCATTTTTGGACAATTCTGACAACAGATGTTCAATAAGATCTACAAAAACTATATTTCCACAGCTCATAACCAGATGGCCAAGAGCTATAATGGTTCTTTTCCTCACTGCAAGTCTAGGGCTGGTCAACTGGGGGAGTAGACAGGTGAGAATTGAAGGATGAAAATTAACAAGAAGTCCTCCTTGCCTTAAAAAAAAAGGGAAACAACAAATGAATTCAAGCATTACTAAAGCACCTGAGCATTACTAAAACATCTGGCCTCTGAACTCAACATAAATATGCAGAATGTAAATTTGGTAGAGATATATCTACATTCACAATGACTAAAAAACTGAATATTCACTATCTCTCCCAAAGCAACTGAAAACCTAAGCTAAATAAAGGCAGCTCTCATTTACTCCCTCCACATAACTCCTAAAATCTATACCTATATTGTCTATTGCAGAGTATCTAACCAGCTGGCTAGAGAAAGCACCAAACAAAACAAAAACATGAAGATCTTGTCACTTTTTTCCTTCCACAATTTCTCTATTCATTATAGCTTTTTAGAGGACTCCCAACATTCAGAACCTCAGGATCTCCTGACTTCTCCATCTTGTTGTCTTTTCTCTATATATTCATATGCCAAGTTTCACTGACCACATGGGCCCCAAATTACACTTCTAGATCACCTCGCAAGTACAGTTCAATGAATCAGCAGTACTCAAACATCTGTAATGTGCCAAAAAAGTAACAGGGATCAAATAACACACAGGACAGTCATAGGAGATTACTGTTTATCAAATTGAGTATAAATTCCCATGTACCTCAAAATGACCCCAACCTATCAGAATGATTTCCTACTACTTTCCTAGTCACTTTATATTTGGAAAACTCGAATACATTATTTCCCACCTCAACAGTACTTAGACCAATGGGTTCTGCACCTGAAGACACCCACCTATTAAAGAGCTACCCATTTTTCCAAATTCAATACGAATGCCACTCTTTCCATTAAAAAAAAAAAAAAAAAAATCCTTGAATATACTTGTTAGTCTTTAGTCCTATTCTGCCTTTATAAATATCTGTGTTAGTGTTTCCTACTGGAAAGCATAATGTCTTTGCTCGGTGCCAGGATGACAATTCCTCACTGTATGTACTTCTCTGCACACTCTCTTTCACCTGAAGATACTATAGAATCAAGTATGAACTGAAATTGTTGAGTTCTTTAAGATATTTTCTCCTGGGAGTTGCGCAAGTCTGTCCATTTTCTCCAAGTCTGACTTTCAAGTGAAAGCAGAATAAGAACTAATGAACAAAAACCAAGTTTCTTCCTCCCAAAACGTGCACTTTAAACATGGTCTCAAAATTGTAATTAGCATCCGTTTAACTAAAAAGCTTGCAACTCCAGTCAGTACATTGTATCTGAGTAGATCACTGAATGTGAGGATATTAGTCAGAACATAAACCACATTGAAAATTTTAAATCACAAATTGCATTTGTGTATTTTTGTGAACTACATAACACGTGTGCTATGCGGTATTACATAAGAATATTAAGCTTTTGTTTCCCCTCATTCTCAACGACACACAGTTATAAAATACACACGGTCAGTTCTGGATCAAGTTTTATATTTACAAGAAATCTTTAATAAATGAACATAATACTTGTATTACAAGTAAAGGAAACGAGGGGCACACTTACCTGCTCAGCATATCAGCCATGATATCCAGGGCCTCTAGCTGAACAGAGACGTCTTCCTGCTTTGCTATTGCACTGGTAAGACGTCCAGTAATCTTTTTACATACATTTGCAGCTAATGCAGAACCTGCGTAAATAATGAGGTAATAGTAATTCATGTCCAGCATGTGGAATCCACCTTATAATCATGGTACTTATCAAATATTGAATAATTCTAAACGTGACCAAGACACTCAAAAGAGATCCATGCCAAAGAATCTGTATTTTAAAACAGGGTGCTTTTCAATAAAATAACTTCCAAGACATAAATGAGAATTATAGATAATAACTATAGAAGGAGCATAGAAAATAGGGCCAACACTATACATTTAACAGACTTCACTAGATAAGTGCTGGACGTTGGCTCTAGGGCTAGTGGTACCCTCTACACACATTTCGGTAGACTGAAGAACAGCAAGAAGTCTTCCCCAGTGAGACCCTTTTCCTAGTAACACACTCTTTTTAGTATCTGTGAATGAAAACCACAATCCTGTGCCCCAAGGTTTATCAGCTTCTTCAAATGAAAAATGAACAGTTACAACTTCTAATAAAGTCCTTTGTAGCAAAGAGAGTCCATAATTTCGTTATAAAGTTGAAACGTAATTCTAGGACTCATACATGTTTTAAAGCAGGTCATGTTATAACTCAGTGGGAAAAGGGAATAAGTAACTGTGAAGGTAAGAATCCACATGGTTAAAAGAGTTCCTGTTAAAAAGCAGAAATCAGCTAAATGCAACCATGTTCCAATGAGAGAAAAAATATGAAGGAAATATCAATATAGCTAATGTAATGATAATATACTTCAGAGCTGATGAAATATTTGAGATAAACAATTACTTAAAAGATAAAGTAACTGGTATAATCTAATGGAAAAATATCAGTTTGGGATTAGAAAATAATGGAACTGAAACTTTGTCCAATTAGGAAGTCAAAACTCTGGGTGAAGTAACCTAATTTCTTTGGATTTCAGTTTCTCCATCTATAAACTAGAGAAGAAGGCTGGATGTGGTAGCCCACACCTGTAATCCTAGTACTCAGGAGGCTGAGACAGGAAGAACACTGCAAATTGGAGGCCAGTCTGGGCTACAAAGTGAGTTCAAGGCCATCCTGAACTGCATAGCAAAACCCTGTCTCCAAAACCAAAACAAAACACAAACCTGGGGAGGATATTAAAAGCTCTCATATGGCTGATGTGTACACTAAGTTAATACACAATCATCATTTAGCATAACAAGTATCTTAATATTTGTTAAGTAAATTAATGAAAACAACATAACCAGATGACATTATAACCAATCAAAATCTTATGTTAAAATAGGGAGCTAACTGCATCCCATTTACAGATGGGATAGCAACTCCAAGGTGGATAAGTTTAGCAACTTCTTAGTAGTCAAGAGCATTCTAAAATTTATACTTCCTAGACATCTGTCAGGAGCTAAAGGGTAACTAATTTATTAACTGTTTTAAATTTTAACATAACCGAGTATTTGTAAAACGCTCAGCTTTACTTAAGGGTACTAGTAAAACTGAGGGTCATAATTATGCTGTAACGATGTTCAATTTTATGCAACAAATTCTGATGCCAAGTAAAATTAATGCTGGAAATAGAAAACTAATCAGAACTCAGTATATTTTGCTATCTTTTCCCTCACTGTATAAGTTGGCACATAACTCTAAGTTTGTTCTCATAGTACATCCAATGCAAAATCTTGCTCTAATAAAAATCCACTGGAAGTGAGACTCATGAGATATTTAAATTCAATCAAAATATTCAATGTTATGTTTATTTCCAAGAAAAAGTAAGGCTTGAGATTTTAATTTTTTAAAAAAACTTTAAAGGGATTCCAACAAAGACCTTACAGGACAGATACCACTCTCTCCCTGGCAGGAAGGGAAGGAACAACAACAACAAAAAAGCCAATGGGGGAAAAATACCCCCACACGAAAAGAAAATAGAACATGCTATTGCTTACCACTGGAAGCTGGAGGAAGTTCTCCAATTACTGTTTTAAGGCCAATACTTGAAATATCTCGAAGTTGCTCTTTATCAGAAAGCATGTTAGTGCAGAGGGTATCTACAATTGTCTCTACTTGGTATTCTTTCACCTTACTCACTAAAGGACCAAGACTGTAACACAAAGAAGAATTCTTTTAATAGCTAGATAAACATCAAACACAGAAAAACATGTAAATGAAAATATTAAGTTGTCTGCCTAGCAACTGTCAACTACACCATGTATCTATCATACGAAGTACACAAGTAAGAGGGAAAAGTGAAAGAAGGGGAAAAACACGTACATGTGTATACACAGGATAGCTAACGTAGTTGTACTACTGATTTTTATTGCTTTATTGAAAGGAACAGTTAATATTTAATTGTTTGATCAATCTTACATGTCTCTGTTTATCTGACTAACCAATTTGAAGATATCAGTATGTAATACAACAACCATTTTTAATTTCCTATCACCTTGTCTGAAATTCTATATTGCTTGTATTGTTTTTGAGTTACACTGTAAATGCATATATATTTGTTAATATGTTTTCATTCTTTTATCTTTAAAACAAAAAAAGGAACACCACCAAAAAAAGAATGTAAACTAAATTCTTGCTTGATAAACACCTTCCAGTTACCTTCCAGTTTTTCCCTCCAACATACCTTTCAAATAAACAGAAAACTTTACTAATAAAAAGGCTATTTAGGCATCTGGTGCTAACAAGGATTATCCACAATGGAACTTCCACCTAATATCGCTTTGTCATAGCTTCTTAAAATAAAACTTCTAGATTCAACATCAGCCTTCACAGGACAAATGTAACATGCTGACAGTCACACTTGTAGGCTAGAAAAGAGCACTTAAAGCGGGAAACGCAAGGTCTTATAAAGACAGAGACTAGAATGAATGAAATGCATAACTTAAATGAATAAACTAAATACTCCTATTAAAGAACAGAAATTATAAGACTGAAAAAAGAAAAAGCAAGACCTATCTGATGTCTACCAGAAACAATTTAAAAGTCAACTGAAAAGCAGTAAAAATGATATCCTATGCACACATACTAATCTCTAAAAAACCTCAAGTGACTATATTAACATCAGAAAAAATGTATTCCAAGATAAAGTGCATGGTAAGAGATAAAGAGAAATACTTCATACTCATAAAAGAGTTAAACAACAGGAAGACCGAACAATTATAACTGTGTATCCACCTAAGTCACTGACAAAGACCTTCTGATCAAATTTCAGCATGCTCCTCTGAGCAATCTTTTCAACCAGGCCTTGACCTTGGCTACTATCCTCGATGGGCCTCCCCGGCCTGAAACTTTACGCAGTTTAAAAGTGTCATTTCTGAAAATATCTACGCATGACAAAGAAAAAAAGTAACTCTTTAAGCACAGAAACCTGATAGTACTTTAATCACATGATCAGCATTAAATGTAATAATTTCCTGATTTCCTCATTCGGCTTGGTGATTATCAATCTCCACTTAGCTTTACTGTATTCAGTTGAACCCAATCTCTACTGCAATAATACTGACACCTAGTACAGCAGTCCTGAAGTCTTCCCTACTATGTAAACAAATGCCAGTAAATTTTCATACAATTTTAAAATGCATGAAGAGAAGACTGCCTTGCTATACACCTTGTTAGCACTCATAGCTGGGAAATTTTAAATCTCTTCCAGCAGTCCAGATTACTACCCCCAAAAGACAGGACATAAATCTAATTTCAACTACCTTGACCTGACATTTAACAACTGCAGAACGTATTTTCTGTTCATGTGTTTATGAACATTCACCAAGGCCTACCATATGTAGACTAGAAAAAATTTCAATAAATGTTAAAAAAAAAAGGAACCAGAAATTTTAAATTCTGAGAAATTTGGTTTTCTGACCAAAGTGGTATTAAATTAGAAAGCAATAAAAAAAGAAAAAGCAGTTAGATAATCTCCAAGTATTTGGAAATTATTTCTAAATGACTCATGGATTAAAAGATCACAATGAAAATTAAAAATGAAAGATAATGAAAACATCAATGTTGGAGGTAGCTAAAGATCTTTTTACAGGAAGATACCTTTAACATATGTGAATTAGAAAGGAAGTCAAAGGGAAAGCAATAATAAAAGAAAAAAAAAATCAATGAAATAGGCAAAAAACAATAGAGAAAATTAACAAAGCCTTAAGTCAGCTCTTCACTGGTAAAACTAACAAAGGCCTGAGAGAGATAGAAAATCCCAATTAAGATTGGAAGAGGAATATTTACTGCTGACCTGACTGTGTAAGCAGAAAATCCTGGGCACTCAACAAAAACTACTCTAACATTAAAGTATGAAATACTAAAGATCCCAACTGAAAGATGCATTAAAATGTAGATTCTTTTCAAATATTTCTATAATGCCCACACAATTCCAAAGGTTAAACTTATTCTTAAAAACAGAATTAACAAACTGATTCTAAAATATATACAGAAAAGACAAGGGACCTTAAAAAATGTTTTGGGGAAAGAAGAATGCAACCGGACAGCATAAATACTTAACTTCAGACTTACTACATACCTACAACAGTTTCTCAACCAGGAGTTGAATTTTAGTCTCCAAAAGTATTTGGCAATTGGCTGTTGACATTTTAGGTTGTCTCAGCTGGGGAAGGTGAGACAGCTACTGGCAAACAGCAAAGGATATTGCTAACATCTTACAATACATAGATAGCTCCCACAGCAAAAAATTCTCTGTCCCAAGAAGTTAGCAGTGCCAAGGCTACACTAATAAAACAGCACAGAATAGACAAGTAGATCAAGGAAACAAAACACAGCCTAGAAACAGACACACACTTTTAGGGTTAACTGACTTCTTGGCAAAGATGCCAAGGTAAATTAGTAAAAAAGGGAAGGTCTTTTCTAGAAATGGTGCTGCAACAACTGGATATCCACATTAAAGGAAGAGGGGTTCTATCTTTGTAAACAAAGATTACTGAGGACTCAAAAAAGCACAAAGGAAAAATTCTAATTTTCAGATTAAATCAAATTTAATTCACATATTTAATTTACAGATTAAATCAAACTAAGCTAAATTTTAAATAAAAATCTGGAACATTTTCAGACTTAATTCTATGGGACTACTACTAGAACTATTTGTCCTGGAATTACCTCTTCTTTAAGGTTTCAAATACATCAACAAAAGATTTCTAGACCTTTATATTTGGTGGCAAATTCTTAAACAGATTTCCAATTTCTTAATTAAAACTAATTACTAATTTATCTACTGGGATTTTTCTACCTTCAAAAGTCAGTGCATTTGATTTTTTGCCATTATCATGATTTTTTAAAAATATGTTTTATATCTTCATTCCTTTACTTTCTTGAATATATGTACAATTTCTTTCCCAACCCCTTTAATTGTTCAACACATTATTTTGGAGATAGCTTAATTTTATTAGGTACATGCCCAAAACAATTATAAGACAAAAAATTAAACTTAAATTATTGGTTCACCTGTATTACAACTTTGTATTTTTTGAAGATCTACTTTTATTTTAAATTTATGAATGCTCTGAGTTAAAGAAATTTGTACTACATATTTATAAATTCCGTTGACCAAGGATTTATCACTTTTGCCTGTCATTACAAGCAGATATAAAAAACTTTAGCCTAAAACAAATTTGAAACTTTGTAAGCATCCAATAAAGGAATAATAATGGAACCATGCTTTATTTAAACTGATACAAAATATAATACAACATACAAAATGACACAATTCCATTAAGAACGAAACTAAATGTTATACTTTTATTATTAGCTCACTATTAAATAGGACTTCTAAAATTTGGCCCTCATAAATCAAACAAGTACATTAAAGGAATTTACTGAAAATTCAGTTTCTCTACCCTACTACGAAACCCACCTGTGAAGAAAGTTCCTAGCTTTACTGTACTGCCAAAGACAATGAGAACTTCCACAATTTTAAGGAAACCATCTCTATAAGCATGGTATCATCAACACTGTAATTGCTGCCTTTCCTTGTTTAAGGGCTTTATCATTGGTTTTCCTTTTCCTTGCACATCTGATTTTTAAATTTCACCCCCCAAGCTGTGCTACAAAGTAAGTGACAGAATCATAGTTTCTGGAGTTCTCTACACATACTTTCTAAGAGCTAAAAGAAATACTGTAAAGGGCACATTATTTTATATTCTCTAAGTTAATATACTGTATACAACATACACAAGCACTAAACATTCACTAGTCACCTAAAAATTCTAAAACTGAAACAAAACAAAAACTCCAGAAAGAGTACAGTATCTAAGATAATTACCTATCAATTTTTTTAAACTGCGGATAAGGAGGAACAAGATTAATACAACTCACCATTTGACAGCTAAATTCTGTACCTCACCATTTTTATCTTCCAGTAACTTCAAAATCATTTTCACTACTTTTCTTTCACTATCATCATCCAACTTGATAGAATCTTTCTGCAGTTCTGTCATCAAATCATTTGTAGCCATAAACCTATTAAGAAATTAAAATTTGTTAATTCAAAAATTTTGAAGTTTTAATTCAAAATTAATTTTTCAGATCCAATGCTATACCACTCACTCAAGAGGACTACAGTACATCACAAAATTTCATCTATTTTTAAGTGCTCATAAATTCAAGTAACTACTGAAGAAAAAGATAACAGCACATAGTGAAAAGTCACTGTTTTCAAATAGGTATTTCTAAAGTCCTACTACATTCTTTTATTATCATAGGATATATATGATATATCCCATAGGAAACTAACTCAAAATTATCTCCCCTGGGTTAGTCTTCATTTCAAACTTACTAATAGGTCCTACAATGAGTGCTTGTTCATTCTAATTAATTATATTACTCCTTTTAGGGGGAATAAAAAGGTACTCTTTTTATTTGCATAGGATTTTATCTGGGAAGACCTTAACCACAAACATTAAGAACACCTTCCTTAGATATTATTGTATGCTACACCAAGAGTCATATATTATAAATTACTGTACTAGGAAATTTCCAATACTAATTCCTTTCCCATCCTAACTTCTGTCCATAGGTACATGTTTATTTCCAAACTGGTGAAGAAGTAACTCTACAAAGTTATTCCATCTGACATTTATTCACCTCTCCTTAAGAACCAAAGCCAAAGGAAGGTTTAATAAGCCTGACAAAAATACAAAGTAATCAATCATCATCTCAGACTTAAAGGCCTGATAGAGGTTAAGGTAAATAGTCATGGATTTTTTTTTCATATACATTACCAGACAATTTATTACTATCTCTCATTATTTGAAGTAATCAAACTCAAAACCCTAAGACTGCTTTAAAGTCAAATGAACTTTTCTAGTAATTCTTACTTCCATTTATCAATGAAATACAACTGAAATATCTACTTACCATCTAACTAGATCCAGCTTAAGTAAAAACTAGCATTTTGTTTTATATTCTGTAAATTAATATACTGTACATAGTATATACAAGCATTAAACATTTACTAGTCACCTAAGAATTCTAAAAAATTAAATAAAACAAAAACACACAGACAGTACAATATTTAAGATAATTACCGATGTGTACATTAAAAAATACAACTTACTAACACCTACTGGAGTTTAAAGAACTCTGCAGACAGTCTCACAATATGGGCAATAAACTATGTGGTAAAGATTGACAAAAGTAAGTTAACGATTACTACTAAGGTAATTTTAAAGGTAATTAATAATCAGTATTTCACTTAACATGGATTTGTCATAGTTTTAAACTGCAAGGAAGCAAGTAGTTCAAAAGCATGTAGAAAACTGCTTATAAAGAAAAGCCTATATTCATATTGGGACAATAAAAAACAAATTAGGCATGTACTTTAAAAGTGTGACAATTCTAATTGGAAGCTCTTAGTCATCAAAGCTATATTAATCTTCATTAACATTCTAAAGTTGGAAAAACTGTGTAACACATTAGTACAGACATTTTAACACAAAACACTGAAAACATCTTAAAACATTTTAAATAAATTAAATACATTAAATAACTACAATTATTATAACCCCTATGGACCTTTGCAATACCAGTTATCTACCTCAAAAGAACAAAGTGATTATCAATTTAAGTACAAAAGCAGATAATCCCAAATAAAATGCTGGTTTATGGTTCTGAGTTGGTTCTACTAGATTTAGTCCTTTATTCATCGTTTATTTATGCACTGCCTATTACGTTAGAAAGCTCAAACAAAGAACTAAGGATGGAGAAAGAAAAAAGTAAGTAAGCCTTGACCCCTGAAAGAGTTTATATTGTAATAAGTTCACTGACCTCCAGAAATCTTTAATGGTTAAATATCTTTTTTAAAGAAGTTGAAATGACCACTACCAAAACTAATGATACTACTTTTAATCACCAGAAAAACTGGATTGAGATTGTAATGAGTTACATCTCACTGGTGCTTTTGAAACCAGAAAGTTCCTGGAATACTTTCTTCCACTGATCTAGAAGTCGTTTGACCAGTTTGAGAGTTGTCCGTAGCAGTTAAAAGGTAACTTGGAAGTGGGTCTTAAAATAGCTATTACTGTTGTAAGTATGGTTCAAAGAGCTGAGATGATATACATGCAGACTAGGTCTCTTCCTCTTATCCATCTAGTGGGACAAACAGGTAAATAACACCCTTACAAATTTTTTTTTAAAATACCCAAGAGCACATGAAAATGATGATATCCAAGAACTGCCTGCTTCAATTTCAAGGGACACAAGAGGGGATTCATAGAAGGAAAGAGACGTTATTCTCCTTTGTGGTGGGAGAGAGCAGTAGAGCTCCTCAAAGTGAAGGACTACCACAGTTCAGTGTGGCTGCAGGACAGAAACCTAGCAAATAAGGAAATACAACGGGAAGACGATGGAAATGCAGACTGAGGCCAAGCTGGGAATGGTTTTATACTTTAATTCAGTACATAAGGAGAATCTACTACATACCAGATACTACTGTACTCGCGGCTGTGGCTACAAGGGGTAGCCAAAGCAAACGTAGTTCCTGATGCTTTGGAGCTTACACTGGTCTGGTAAGAAGTACATTAACTTTTTAAAATTCCATCTATGATTAAGAACCTAAGATAATTATGAATTGAGATAAATGCTATGAATTAAAGAAATGTGTCAAGAAAACACAGCAGTATAACACAGTAACTACGCAAACTGAAGTGGAGATTGTTTTTCAAGGAAGACCAAAATCCCAAGAGTAGACAGAGGTATTCAGGAGTGGGCTAGGGGGAAAACTGGTGCCAAGTAAGAAAGACACAGTAATTGAAGAGATTTGTAGATCATTATCAGGATTTTAGTATTTATTCTAAGAGCCACAGGAAGTTACTGTATGGCATATGGGAGAGAGGTAGGAATTAAGTGGAATAATGGAGTAGATAGATTAGTCTTTCACAAGCACTACTCCTACTCCTACCCCTGACACCACTTTGGAGAAAATCGATCTTTATCCACTAGACTGAATGGAGACCAGTTGGGAGAATTACTGCTGCAGTCTTGTGAAATTACAGTAGCCTGAATTCATTATCAATAAAAACTTTTATACTACACATACAACCCTTATTATTTGCAACCTACATGTACAAATTCGCCCACTTGTTAAATTTTATTTGTAAACTCAAATTAATACTACCCATCTAACAATCGTTTACACACAAGTGCAGAGTGGTGGCTGAGTCACTCAACACAGATTCAGGTGCAGTGGGACTCTGCCTCCTAGTTTCTGCTCACACTGCAAACAAGTATCCTCTTCTTGGTCTATATTGTGCCATATTTCTCACATTTGTACCTTCTGCTAGTAATTTTACTGTTTAATATGGCACTTATACACAGTACTTAAGTGCTATCTAGCATTCCTAACTGCAAAAAGGCTGTTATATATCTTCTGAAAAAAAAAATTGGTGGTATGCTCCATTCAGGTATGAGCTTATAGTGCTACTGACAGTAAGACCAATGTTAATGAATCCATCATACACACTAAATAATCTTTAAACAGAAGCATACACACCAAAAGATTAAGACTCTAACTGAGCAAAATGCTGTGACCAGGGCTCATAAGAACCTAACCCTGTTATTCCCCTAGTAGCAATGGTTCAGTATTTGATAATTCAGTGTTTGTGGTCACTTTATAGAGAGTAATTACTACCAAAAACGATCACTATTTGAGATCATAAAGTGAGATGAACAGTTCTTCAAACGGATTAGATATAAGTATAGTAAGGAATGAGCTAAAAAGACAGAAGTAGGAAGAAAACAACAAGTCCTGGTCCTACAGACAGCTGATGTTTCCTTCCTTAGAGAAAGTTTCTGTGTAGTCACTGTCATACCAGATGGTTCAAGTACACATTTTATTTTTCTAGAATGAAAAAAGATTAAGTCCAAATCAACCACGAACTGTATCAAATGGATATGCCTTTAATTTTAACAAAATCCCAGTGAGACTGAAGATATGATCATCATGAATTAATGCTATACAGCTTAACTTCATCTGTCGCAGGTTAAATGGAAACCAAGAAAGAAAAAGCAATCCCTGTCGTTTAGAAACTGATCTGAGGCTCACACTTCAACCTCAACATTGAAAACTAACTGGATGTTTACAAATAAAGGGTAGTTTCTTAGACATACAGAACACCCATGTCAGACAGGGTCACCGAGCAACAACGGCAAAAAACAGAAAAAATCAAGTATTTTCTCCTTCCAGTTAAATGAGCGACTCTTACTTCCTTACCAATTAAGTTGTTTCTACTACTTTTACAGGGTCTACAAACCCTGTAAAATTTATTAAAATGTAAGTCACAGACTTGCCCTTTCGGACACGATCCAATTTAAAGCAAAGCTCTGCCTCCTTAGGCTGCTCTCAAAATTACCCAAATAAATAGGCTCCCTGTAGCAATCTCATAGAGACCCCTTAGCGTGTGTTCCATCTTCCTGTAATGAATAAGCCCAACTTGTGTCATGGATGTTTATATAATTAAATTCGAAAGGGAAAAATTGGTATTCAGAGCTTAAATATCACATAAATGAGCAAAGAAAATATTCACTAAGTCCACTGTTAGAAATTTTAAAGCAGTTTCTGTGATCTCATACAGCAGTCAAGATGTTTGGAAGTTTATCTTGTAGTCAGTGAAAACTAGATGAAAAGGCAAGAACCAGTTGTGATATTTAAGAAAAAAAATTCTAATGGTTAGAATGAACAGACTAGATTAAGAGGCCTTTGACAGCAACACTAACTTGAAAAATACCCATCAGAGAACTAAAGGAGAGCAGAAAGGTCAGAGAAAGGTAACATCAAGGTGTTTTACTTGGGAGGGCTTTCAATGAATGGTAATTGACCAAGCCATTAATAAGGAACAGGAAAGCTTAAAGTGGGAAGGAGGAGGGTAAAATGTTGCAAGTGTTAACTTTCAGACTCCTATTTGATTTCCAGGTGGATATAACGTGTAGGTAATGCTATCTTCATTCATTTTTTTCAACAAATATTTTAGGGATACCAGCATAAAGAACTATGTTAAGCTCTGTGCACACAGTAATGAAGAAGATAGTGACAGTCTGAAACTTACACAGCTGGCTTATTCTATTCAACTGAAAGGTCCTTGAGGCGAGAATTTATTCATCTTTAGTTAAGTGCAATAAAGGTAGAAACAAAGGTAGAAATGGATGCTTTCCACTGCACAATGAGTAACTTTCACAGCCTCTCCTCTCATATATTAACACAATTTTACGCAACTGAAAGTTCCCCGAGGGAACTTACTCATCTTCAGTAAATACAATGAAGAGAAGCACAAATAAAAGTAGAAATGGATGCTTTCAACTGCACAATGAATAACTTTCACAGCCTCTCCTGTCATTTAGTAACACAATTTTACTCGATTCTACCAGAAAGCTAGATGACCTGAGCTAACTGTATTACCCAATAAAGCAAATACTTTCAAGTATCTTGCATAAATACCACTGTTACCTAGTTTTTCTCATTTATTCCCTGCAGTAGTATGAATTAACTTGCACTAGTCTTGATATAGTTCCTGTAAATAAAACTAATTTTTGTCCATCTTCCAAGTTTCCTATGTGACATCCCTTTTTCTTGTTTTTCAGTAGTGAACCCTAATCATTGCTGTTAAGTTTATGTAGTACCTGTATACATAAAGAAGAAACATGTTGAGTAAAAGCAAGTAAATTACTACCATTCACTTGAGAAAACTTAAAAAGTGCCTAGAAATCAGCTTCTTAATCCTTGCAAATCTATTTCCTCAGATTAAAAACTCTTTTCTCCAATAAAAAGTAATCAAGATCATTTCACTATTTCTCACATAACTGTAATGTTCAGAGTATTTTCAGCTCCACAACAGGATCTCTAGGCCCCTTCCAGCTCTACAAGTCTATGATTCCTTAACAGAGCTAGATTTTGTTAGCATTTTAAACAGTTTTCCAAGAGAAAATCCTTCTAGGATTCACCCAGTACCTAAACACATAAACTTGGTAACATAAACCATTATCAAGTTGGAAAATGTTTCTATTCTACAACAGGGTGCATTATTTTAAGATTGTATCAAGTAGTATTTAAAGAGATTTGTTGATTTTACAACGATTTCCTGAGGAGATTTTTCTAAAATTCTTATATACTTTCTGCCCTTACTCTGGAATTAAAATACAATTCAACTAAAACACCTACTGAAAGAAGTCACATGGCCAAGGAGCTACAGGATTCAGTTCAGTAAGACAAGGTACTAGCCTTAAAAATTCCCCAGCTACAGTCAAAATCCCTTCTCCCTCTCTGCCAGGGAAGTTTTCTACAGTGTACTTTCATACTGATCTCTACCTAGAATTTCATGTTCATGACCTCACTCAGATCCTTCTATGGACATGAATCTCCCTGTTATCATATATCGCCCCCAGGGTTATCTTTTTACACCACTGTTTTAACCATCAGACAAGTAGAGACTTACTGAGGTCAATCATTTGAACTTTATGAAGTCCCTCTCAAGGAATTAGAAAAAGCATCTTCCAGTACAAAATATTCTAATTTTTGAGGCAATTTCAATATAAGGTGTGCCTTGTATTGTCCTCTAGTCAAAACCTGGGAGAAGTAGCACAGTTAAGTGTTACGAGCAAAGAGGTACTGGAAATCCTAGATCTACCATATAACTAACCTTGGGCAAAGAACTAATCCAAATCTCAGCTTCTTCAACTGTAACAGTCTATTATCCACTTTTACTATAATTTTATAAGGATTTTTTAAGAATCAAGTGAAGCTGAAATATTGTGCATGAATAAAAGCGTAATATTTTCTTTACTCTTGATTCTTTGCAATACTTTAATTCAGCGGTGGTGAAGCCTATAAAATAACGTTGTCTCAACCCACTACACATTTAGTGAATATCTGGAGTACTCCTAGGGTTCATGCACATTAAAGCTTTTACTGTTATCTACAGAATCACCTGCCCATTGGCTGCATCACTTTGTACCTTTAACTCTTTAAGCACATACACACACCTATATGTCCTTATACTGAAAATAATACTTAGTATTATAAAAGTTTTCTAGGGGAAAATTCTCAGTACATTCAAAATAGTATTTCTTCTGAGAAAAGAAGTGATGAAAAGAACTGCCTGAGGTACTCTTCCAAACCATGTTTCTTCATAAAGTGTTATTTGAATTAGCATTCATTAATTTTTAAAATATTAATTTTCTCCAAAAATCAAGGCTAGTACGTGAGACTCTATCCTGGCCAATGGGATACAAAAATGTCCCTCTCCTTTACAAAGAGTGCTGAGTAATGACACTGCTCTTTTAAATACTACCCTAGTTCTCATAAATCTTAATATCCCACCTTCAAATAATGTAGAATATTAACACATTAAAGAAAAGATATATTAGGTAATTCTTCGATAAATTGAGCCTATGATTTAAGTTCTACAAAGATAAAGCGTGGAACTCCAAAATGCTAAAGACTGCATTTGTTTCTTTATATTAATGGTCTATGTAGTTATTGAAATAGAAAGTTGAATAGAGGCCTATAACCAACCTTTTGTAATTACCCTTCTGTAATTACCCATATGCAAATCTCTCAGAAGTGAAAATCATTTCAAACTAAGCAGGTTGCCCAAGATCTCAGAGTTCACAAGCAAGAATCACACTGATTAGAATCCAGGTCTTGTGATGAAGTCAAATTCACTTTGGATTCTATGAGAATAAAAGCATCTTTCATTTTGGTAGCACTGTTTTCCTCTTCATTCCTTAGTACATACAGTACAAGGAAAAGTGCTTTACATATTAGGCATTTCGTGATGTAAAATTGCTCTCAGGATGCTTCTGGCACTATTTTAAGAATGTGTAATCACAAATCTTGGTATTTATATCAAAAGAACTAAATTTCTAGGGAGAACAATGCTTCTTTTTTAAAATTAGCGAATGTTATACTTAAAACTGCATGAAATTCAAATGTTCACTATTTGAAAGGCAAGCGTCCAATCCCCAGTATCATAAAAAAATTTAAATGTTTAATATACAGAGTGCTTTAGTTCCAGACTTGTCTGTTAACTGGATGGTTAAGCAATTATAAAAAGAAATTTTAAAAAATTAATACAAACACCTTAATTGTAACGTCAAATTACTGGAGATCACTTACTGTTCCCAAAGACATCTTCTATAACAAAAACCAATTATAAGAACTGTATCAATAGTCCATGATCCACCAAGCAAGGTTTTGACACATTCCAACACTGACAGATAACGCTTCTCAAGTTCAGCATTCACTATCAGTTAGTTTAAAGACATTATTATTTCTTTCACATAGTTTACTTTAAAAACGAAACATAGACTCGGGCCTTATACAGTACTTTCCTTGAAGCTTCAGACAGTACATATGAAGTACCCCACATGGCTTGATTTCTTTAGTCTTTCTAAAGGTATTACCCACACCTGAGTCGGTCTAGCTGAGCCAAACTATATTACAGTAAAAGTGCTACCTTAAGACTACAACAGAATCAGAATGAAATTTAGTACTGTTAAAACATGAGCCAAACCAGCATAACACTGAATCACAACCGCACCTTACACACAAAGTTGACAGTTGTATGAATGTTCCCATTCAAATATTTAAATTTCAAGCAAACCTTACAAGAAAATCAAACAATATCCTAACCCTTGAAAAAAAACAAAAATTTTACTTTTGATAATCTTGATTTTGGCCCCCAAACTACACGAATTCCAAAATTCTGTGATATCTAAAACAAACGTGTAACACCCCTCAGTCACAATACTAAAATCTCTAACTTCAGCAAACTGGGTTTTAAAAGTTGCAAATACAACCTTTAAGGCATTGCTAGGTATTACACTGATCGTTGTAATATGCCAACACACCAATGAGGTATACTGGTTTTTCCATGGTTCTCTTTTCACCCATTCGTTCTCAGCAGATAAACTACAGGTGTCAAGACGATTGTTCCTATAAAGCAAACCACCACCCAAGCGCTTTAGGCACAATTTTCATTGAGGACCACCTGTCCTCTTCTAACATGCAGACGAACTACAACTAATAAAGCATTAAAACCCAAAACGTCAATATTAACAGAATGAACTTTTTTGATCGAGGGCTTATTTCTGAACAGACCAGGAGGCAGGAAGGAATGTAACTGTCACTACAGCATGCCACCCGCCCCCCCGTGGCTAAGATAATCTGAAACTATAACAAATCTTCAACGCGCATGTTACAAAACTGCGGAGCCACAAGCACCGGTGCCCTGGAACAGAACTGCCACGCCACCGCTCCGCCGTCACCCCCAGGAGCGCTTCTCCGGCTCGGGCCGCAGCGATCCACCCCGGCAGCGACGTGGGGCTGCGAGGCTGCAGCGGGAGAGCCCGCGCGGCCTCACCGGCCAGGGACCGCGCGGACGCCGGCGGGAAAG